TCGACACCGATATTGGGGGGTAAGGTCATATCTTCCCCGATATCGACGATATATCCCCGATAAGTGCGATATCCCCGATATTTTGCCGATATTCCCGATATTTTCCGATACCCATAACAAAACCCAAAAAAATTCAAAAGTTTTGAAGCAAATTGAAACTGAAAAGATTTTTTGGAGGTATATGTGCAGTGATTAGATATATGTGTGAAGGCTTTTGGCAATATTCAATTCAAAAGATGTTTTGGAGTATGCATGTTTTAGAGTATGCATCAAAAGAATATAGACTATGCATCAAAAGAATATAGACCTAGTACTAACTCAAATGAATCTTATGATGGCTATGGTTATGTCATGTCTGATTATAGTGGAACTAGATATGGAGCTCAAGATGATGAAACAGATTATGGACCTACTAGTTGGGTTAATCCTAACTATCCCATATATGGGATGACAGTAGGGAGCTCAAGAGAGACATATGTGCACCATGTTCAAACATGGCTTACAAACTACTCGGGTTACATGACTTGGTATGATTATTGTACGAATCTAGATGGTTGTTCCACATTGTTTGAACCTCATAGGAGCTCTTCATTTATGTAGTTGGACACTCATCTAAATTGTAATCCAATGTTCAAATAAACTATGGATTTATGCATGGTTTATTCATTCTAATCAACTTTTTATTTTCAAACTTTTCATTAACGCGTATTACATACCACTTATATTTCATTATATATATATATCTTATTATTAGTAAATTTTGAGTTTTATTTGTTCAATACATTCATTGACAATGTACATAACATCTATGAAATTTTTACACTAAAATTATGTGTTTCAATGCCTATATCTGTCATTTTTGTTGATTTTTTCCCGATACCCAAAACGATAGCGATATATCCCTCGAAATATCTGTAAATTGGAGGCCCGATATTATCTGCACGGCCGATATTTTAATCCTTGACTGCACATATACCTCCAAAAAATCTTTTCAATTTCAATTTGCTTCAAAACTTTTGAATTTTTTTGGGTTTTGTTATGGGTATCGAAAAATATCGAGAATATCGACAAAATATCGGGGATATCGCACTTATCGGGGATATATCGTCGATATCAGGGAAGATATGACCTTACCCCCCAATATCGGTGTCGACAGTTCAAAATATCGATATATCGGCCGATATATCGGTGTATCGGCCGATATTTCAATCCTTGTTAAGAATTACAACATCTTTAATAGAAAACATGAAAAATACAAATACATAAAAGGTATGCCAACTAATTTAATAGTTTTCATCATTTAACCAATCCGTGTTGCTAGGCCCATCATCCCAGAAAAGTCTTCTTCTCATAATGTCCCTTAGTTCTAGCTTCCAAAATTGTTTTGTTTCAGGGGACATATGGCTTGTATCCATCGTCATGGTTTCCCGATCCGTCTTGTCCATATCTTTTTTATGCAAATACTCCATTTCTCGTGCATACTCGGCTTGAATTGTCATCTCGTTCTCTTGGCGTTTCTGCTCCATTTCAATTCTTACGGCGTTCTGCCTTGCAATTTCCTCCAAAAACTTTGAATTATTATTGCTTGAATTACCTGCTTTTTTTGCCTTCGCAGCCTTTCGGCCAATGGGCCTCGACACCTTTTCGATGGGTGAGTCTTGACTCATAGGGGAATCGATAAGTGAATCCGATGACATTGAATCATGGAGTGGCGTCTCGTTTAACATAACATCGGGACCCGTGGGAATAATTATGAAGCGTTTGCAATATTTCACTACCTCCCAACATTCATAATGGGTGAAACTTTTTTGCCACCCCCGGTTGCACCGAACCACATCTGTGCTTGAATAATTTATTTAACAAAAAACATGGAAATGCAAGAAATATTTAAAATATATTGGATATGCAAGTAACAAAAAAATAATAATGGAAATGCAATTAACCTTACAAATAAATTGGAAGTGCAAGAAATATTAACAAAATATTGAAAATGCAATAAATATTAACAAAATATATATATTAGGACATTAAACTTAATAAAACGAAAATTACAAAATACTTACCTCGTCAGTATGATTTTCCCCGCTTCTATAGTTGTGCATCGCTTTTGACAAGGCATCTCTCCATTTTCCCAACTCTTTATTGAGAATTTTTCACGTACTAGACAATGTCATTTCCGTACGAGTCAGCATGAATTTTTTTCCACATATGAAAAAATTTCATCTCATTGCCTGACACAGGACAATGACAAATTTGGAGTCAAGCCTCACACAAGGAAACATTTTCCATGGTGCTCCACGCCCCTCCGGTTTCGATAGAAAAAGCCATAAAAATAAAAAATAAAAATACAAGGTGAAAGGGAGGAAAATGTAGGCCAAAAAGAGTGAATAATAATATAAGTAGAATAAAATGTATGAGGATTGGTGTTGAAAGTGAAGGCTATTGATAGGTATTTATAGAAGAAAAAAATCATAATTTTTTAGTATTTTTTTTTTAAATGATTTTTTTTCATAATTTTATTGCCAAAAAAATGTCACCCGTTTGATTGGATTCGGATCTGCTAATCGGAGCGCTCGGGGCGTGACACATTGCGCATGACGTCACAACACGCGGGCTCGACCTCGGGCTAAACTGGCCTTCGGGCCAGCCCGACTTCGTGGGACCCACTCCCAGCCCGGGCTTGATCTCGCCGCTGGAACGACTTTTTTTTTTTTTTTTTCCTTTCCCCCCAGCCTTGGGCTCAGTTGATGGATGGAACTGCTCTAAGAACAAAACACCAACCTTCTAATTAGCCACTTGTTCAATGAGTTGAAGAACCCTAAGGGCCCAAAACTAAGGAGATAGGCAGGCCCAGAGAGCAACCATCACTAAAGAAGGGAGATGGTTCATAACATATAGTTGATATGTTCTTTGTTTACACAACTTATAGCATAATTTGAAAGAGGTAGCCAGATAAACTCAGCAACAAAGAAAGTAATGAAACTTTGATAAAAGAATAGAACATGTAGTAGAAAGGCTAACAAAACTTGTCATAATCAACTGATCATTATAGCTCCTTGAAATTAAATCCAAAGTGACAAATATAACTTGCTTCATCATCAAGGACAACTATTACTCAATCCACCATCTAAATACTTAACAAAGCCTACCAATAATCAAAGAGAATTTCAACATATGCCAGAACATTAATATGTCAAAAATCCATCTTCAACATCAATTTGATAAGAAGAAACAACTTTTTATCAGTCAATGAGTCAAATTAAACACAGTAACATACTCTTTCTCTTTCTTGGTGTCTACATTCTAGCGCTGAATGTTAAGCATCTGCTTAGCCTCAGTCTGCTTCTCCAACAATCCATCACTAGTATACTTGCTCGGCAGCTCCTTCTTCTTCTTCTCCAGCACCATCTTCTCAATCTCCTCGTCGTCCGGCAACGGCGGCAACGTGCACCACAAACTCTTTCTCCCTCTCACTCCTCTCTTGTAATTCCCTTTCTCTCTGCCTCTCCTCCTCAACAACAAAACAAACAAACAAAGTTTACGATAATATTCAGAATTTTCTGTAACAAAATAAATGTGTATTACTAAATCAAATATGCTTAGGCTTTGACGAAGATATAAGCATGATAAATTAGTATTTAAGTGGTGTTCATGGAAAAATTGGATTGCATTCCAAAAAGAATTAGAATATATATATATTTTGGCATAAGAATTAGAATATATATATATATATATATATTTTGGCATAAGCTGTAAATACAGCTTGGACAAATACACAACCCATAATCCAAAAATATCTTTCAAAGTTTATGGTGTGCAGCAAAACCCTCCCAAAAAAATTAATATTAAAGTAGGTCAAAATAAATAAAAACCCCAAGTCCTGCCTACCTCCACCGCCACCGAGTTTCATGAGGCCATGACCACCATCTCCTCCTCCCCTGATTTACTCACCACGCCCCAAATGGCACACCCACGGCCTCTCCATGCAGCCTCCGAGCCCGAACCCGACGACTCTTCCTCTCTCTCCACCCAAAACCCAAGTTCAGGCCCAAACCCGAACCCGACCCAAATCCCTACACTCCTCCACCTCTCCTTCAACCAGGACCACGGTTGCTTCTCCGTCGCCACCGACGTCGGCTTCCGCGTTTACAACTGCGACCCCGTCCGCGAGATCTTCCGCCGCGAATTCGGTCCACATGGCGGCCTCGGGATGGTCCAGATGCTCTTCCGCTGCAACGTCCTTGCCCTTGTCGGCGGCGGACTCGACCCGCTCTACTCGCCCAACAAGGTCATGATTTGGGAGGACAACGAGTCCCGTTGCATCTGCGAGCTCTCTTTCCGGTCCGAAGTCAAAGGGGTCAGGCTCCGCCGTGATCGAATCGTCGTCGTTTTGGTCCAGAAGGTTTTCGTCTACAATTTCACTGACTTAAAGCTCCTGCATCAAATTGAGACCATCGCCAACCCCAAAGGACTGTGTGAGGTCTCGAACGTGTCGGGTCATCCGGTGCTGGTGTGCCCGGGGCTCCAAAAAGGTCAAGTTCGGATCGAGAATTACGTGTCAAAGCGGACCAAGTTTGTAATGGCCCACGATTCCAGGCTCGCGTGCTTGGCGCTCACGCAGGACGGTCGGCTGCTAGCCACGGCCAGTAACAAAGGCACTTTGATCAGGATTTTCAATACTTTGGATGGTTCATTACTGCAAGAGGTATTTAAATTTTATTATTTTTCTTAATGTTCTCTGAAATTGTGTTTTTGGGTGCTGCCATGTCTGTTTGTATGAACTAAGAATCAAGCTTTAGTTGAATCAGAGACAAAGTTGTCAGTCGTCAGTGTGTGTAGTTTTTCTCATTAGGTTGGTTGGCAATGGCATAAGTTTGCTAAAGTTAGGTTTTTGGGAAGCAATTTGTCTCAGAAAGGTGACTGGGATTCATGCTTGGTTGAGGTTTTTGGTTTTTGCAGGGTATACTTGGATATGACTACTCTGCACAAAAATTTATTAACTTTTGTGGTAATTTAGTAACATTAATGTTTAAGGAATTACTTGGTATTTTATGTAGGTAAGGAGAGGAGCAGACAGAGCAGAGATTTACAGTCTTGCTTTTTCTTCTACTGCCCAATGGCTAGCTGTCTCAAGTGATAAGGGCACTGTCCATGTTTTCAGCCTAAAGGTTGATTCAGGATCCTTGGGAAACAATAGATCATGCAGTGCATCAGAGATCAGTCCTCCTAATCCTTCCGGCATTTCATCTCTCTCTTTCATGAAAGGTACGTAATTTGTTGCCAAGTTTATCTCTGAGGTACCGTAGATGAACTGTAACGTCAATTTGTAAATGACTGGTAGTTGTGTATCTTGATCTTGGTCTTTCAACCTTGTTCTGGGTTTATCTTTTGCAGGTGTGTTGCCAAGGTATTTCAGCTCAGAATGGTCAGTGGCTAAATATCACTTGCAGGAAGGCTTGCAGTACACTGTTGCCTTTGGACACCAGAAGAACACTGTTGTGATTCTTGGCATGGATGGAAGGTAACTGAATGCGATATTGTTTATTCTTTTTGCAAGTTCCCGTTTTCTAAGTCTTTTGATTCCATGGAGCTGCCTTCAACTAGAATGTTCCTTATTTTAGTTAGATTTGTTGGAGTCTATGTTTCTTTTCTTTTCTGTTTCCGAAGATTAACTTTCTAATGAAATCATCGGATTGCGAATGCAGCTTCTATCGTTGCCAATTCGACCCTGTAAATGGAGGAGAAATGACTCAGCTGGAATATTATAACTTCTTGAAGCCAGAAGAAACTTTTTGAAGTGGTGTAAATATTTTGTTTTTGGTAGCACCTGTATGTTATGCCTTTTTTCTTCTTTAAATTATTTAGGGTATTGAATACATTGTAAATATTCGAGGAAATGAGAATTTGCTAGAGATCGGTATCGGGGTTACACATATATAACAGTTATATTATGCATCAATGAAATTAGTTGCAGTGATTAACAATTTTTTGTCTCCAAATTTCGGATCGCCTTTAGTTCAATTCGACTTTATGCATCTATTCTATATGGTCCATCTCTGCCAAATATACTGTTAGATAAATTATTGCAAATCACATCCATGATGGTCCTTGCGGTAAAATTAGATAGAAGTCCACGTTAGATAGTTGGAGTAAAAGAGACCCATACAAGTTTAAGGGTTAAATTTTGGAGATGATTTCTCCTTATTGCTCGTATACAAGTTAAAATGAACACAAGGCTTCCATTCCATGGGAGCATGAGAAATTTTAGAAAGTAGACACCAAATTACAAACTAATTCACCTCAATATCAACAGTATCTTTCAAAGGTAACATTAACTACTAACTAGCTGGATAATATGCATTCGCTCTTCTTTCCAGTCACAGAATTACAGGAACCAAACCAACAACAAACTATCTTGAAAACAAAAGCTTGTCATTCACATATCTGAATTCGACTCCTCTGCAGTTACAGTTAAAGTAAACTCATCTCTTGCTCTTTTCACAACTACCTTGATGGGCACCCCGACTCGGTCTCCCATTATTTCAATGATCTGTCACAATTTCACCAAATTTGATGAACATTTATTAACAAATTATTACAAATCTAGTCATTTGCTAAATTGGTAAATTCAATACGCTTTGCCAATATAGCATTCACTCAAAGAAGTTCATGGAAATAATATTATAGTAAGGGTTCCAGTACCTCCTTAATGCTTTCAACAGCCTTTCCATCAAATTCAATAACAACATCACCAGGACGGAACCCAGCACGGTCAGCAGGTGAACCAGGAGTTACCTAGACGATCAAAAGGTAAATTATTTGACAAGTGATCCAGCCATGTTTAACAGTCAAGCATGAACATGTTCATTCCAATGGGTGCACAATGAAGAAGTAAAAGTAAAAGCAAGCTGATGCATATCTAGTGAAAAAGCTCAAGTCGCAATAAACTTGTGTGTTATTTGTTGAATACCAACTATCCTTAACAGCCTGGTTTTCATATTTGTGCATCACATACCCACTTAGAAAAGACTGATAGATATCAAGGTAGAAAAAGCAATGAAATACACAACTAAGGCACTGTTACCAGATTAGGCTAGGAAGCCATTTAAAAGTCATTGCAATTCTTTAACTGCCAAAGGATGGCATCTAGATGTACTTTCCACCTCTGATACATTCAACTACTATTTGGATAAATATGTACAAGATTAGGGAAGGAAGCAACTATATACATACCATGGGGACAAGAATCCCTTTCTTCACATTTGGGAATGTAGGATCTCTTTCTTTAAGCTGGGTGATGATCATCTCATTGAGATCAATCATCTTCAATCCAATCCAAGGCCGGACAACCCTCCTGCCGAACATGACTAATTAGTTTCACATATGTTATCTTTAAAGAAACCAAATTATCAAAGAAGTGTATCACATAAAACTATTTGCTCGTGCTAAAACAAAAACATACCCATTTCTCTTGAAGTGGTCCAGAATTTTGGTGACCGAGTCAATCGGTACAGCAAAACTCAATCCATCAGCAGCAAGTACTTTCATAATATTAACACCTATCACCTCTCCGTCAATATTAACTAAAGGCCCCCCAGAATTTCCCTGCAACACTCAGGTCATATACCCAAAAAAAAAGGAGCCAAGTTTTAGGCACAATTCAAAGTCATTATCGAGAGAGAGAGAGAGAGAGAGAGACCGGATTGATTGCGCAATCTGTCTGTAAATACTCTCTCCGCAATCCACCAAGACCCAAATCAGTGCTTTTACGGTCAACACAACTGCATTAAAGGGAGAAACATGATGATAAACACCAAAAAAACATGATATAGTAAAATGGTCAAAGAAAAATTAAAGGCTTGAAATTGTGCATTTTTATGTGTGTGTTGCTAGGAGTTTAATTTGATAACTGGTAGACAAAAAAGATACCAACTCTCTATTACTGAAAACTAATTTACCTTACAATACCAGATGTGACTGTATTCTGAAGCGAAAGTGGACAGCCAACAGCTATCACACAATCCCCAGGCTGAAGCTTGCTTGAACTGCCGAGCTTTGCTGTTGGTAGTGGAGTTTTAGAATTGATCTTTACAATAGCAACATCGGATTGTAAATCCGCATTGACCACAGTACCCTCAAATGTTCGACCATCTTGCAAAGTGACATGAACCTGTATCAAGTTGAACCGAACATCAATCCTTGAAGATTGATATATTTTCCTAAAAGCCTGCTCTGAAAACCTATTGCATTTCTTAACTCAGACTTAACAGTTACCCTATATTTTTACTTTGAAATATATGCCCTTCTATGTGTACCAACAGAGTCCCCAATGGAACTAGTACAGAACAGTCATTATGATATTTTAAATTATAAGAATTGGGATATAGTTTCTAACCTTCCCTTTTGATGAAGCTCTCAGCCCATGAAAATCCACCACAGCATGAGCACACGTTAAAATCGTACCATCCTGGTTAATAATAGTTCCGGAGCCCATACCCTTTCCAGGACTGATCCCATATTCACCTACACAGTTGACAAACAAAGCATCATTGTTAATTTCTCGATACAATACAACTGTCTCAAAACAAAAATGAAAAATCCCAAAATGTATTTATATTTTATACCCTGTGGAGCAGATACGTTGACAACAGCAGGACCAACCTTAGCAGCCGCTTTTGCAAAAGAATCTCTGCCCAAACATCCACTACATGTCTTCGGTATCTCTCCAGCTGCTGATACACCAGAAACATCCTTGCTTATATCTGATGATGGAACCGAACTATTTCCCAGAGAAAACAGTGGAACCGATAGCTCTGATTGCCATGGAAGCCACAGCGATTCGCGCAATGGCGCAGGGAGTGACACTGATGCCGTGTAATCTAAATCCAATTCATACTTAATGACTGATTATTATAGTTAATCAATCAGAAATGCATTATTTTTTAGACTCAAATTAAAAATGTGAATCTCGATCTGGATCAAACGTTTGACATTTTTTTAGTTGGGTTAGAAACCAAGCAACGAAAACCCAACATTTGATTTCTCGTTTCCTCATTCATCCAGCAACCAGAAAATGTTTGCCCAAAAACAGGAAGAGAAAAATTCACGTTGGATCAAAATAAAAGCTTTGAACTTACCGGAATTTCTGTTGCCGTTGGCGTACAATAAAACCGACCCTGCAGCGGCGGAAATGGCCACAATCCGGTTGGGAGTTGAAAGTTTTCTCTGCCGGAATCAGATGCGAAAGTAATAAGTTTCTAACGAAAGCTAATAAATTTAAAAATGAATTCCAATCAGATTGCGAATACCAGAAAATGGTTCATGAGTAAAACGAAACGAAGGCTTGACTGAATGTACTAGAAGTTCTGAAACGCAAGGTACACAAAAACCCAAGCTAAAACCCCTTCTTTGATGACGGTGTCTTAAATCCCAGACCAAAGGTTGAAGTGTTGTTATTGGTCAGAGACCAAAGATGAAGTTCAAATGGGCTTTGCAGTTGGAATTACATAGCCCAAATCCTAATCGGGTACCGAGAATTGGAGCACAAATAAAAAGACCAAACCTTTTGGGCGTTGTGGGTTGTGTTGTGTGCTCTCTGGTTTTGACTTTTTCTAAAAGAAATCAGATCTACGACTCAAAAAATTGATGTAATATGTTTCTTTTTCTTTTTTAACAATGATGATATTATAAAATATTTTAATTCACGGGGGGAGGAGGTTCGAATTCAGATGCAGTGGGGTGAGTACTGTATTGACCAAGTGGATTAACTCACATTTGTGAATGTAAGTATTGATTTGAAGATTAGATTTCAATTGCATTCACAAAATAAGAAATCTTTCCATTTGATATGAGGATTTGCATTCCAAATTTCAATTGATCACCATAAGAAGATTGCATTTAAATTTTATTCACAAAATAAGAAACTTTCCATTTGAAGTTTCTGTCAGATATACCCAACCCACTATCAGTTTCCATTTGTGCACTACTCTGACTAAAAAACTTTTCATTCCTATAGTTCCCTACTGAGATTTATGTAGTTGCTGATACAGCAGAAACACCAGAAGAGGGGCTTGAGGCCAATTCCTTGGGTGGTGAATTGGGAGACGCATTGTCGGCGACATCCGAAGCGGCGTCGTTTGCCTCATTCCCAAAGTCGGGAGCATTTTCTACAGCAGCAGAAAAAGACGATTTGTTGGTGGTGGGATTGACGAGCTTGGGAGCCTTGGAAGAGGCTTTGGACGACGTCGTCTCCTTTGGAAGCAAAACTGGGTTTATCTGCGGAAGCACACCGCCACTGGCTATGGTCACTCCTTTCAAAAGCTTCTCCAGCTCCTCGTCGTTTTTCACTGCCAATAGCACGTGCCGCGGGCTGATCCGAGTCTTCTTGTTGTCACGTGCCGCATTCCCCGCCAACTCCAGAACCTGACCGATTAATTTGTGATTTAATGATATAATTACAGAAACAGAAATCAAACAATTGTAATCAAACCATTAAAATGTCAGTTTTCTTTTCATTTCCTTCCTTTTCTCAACAACCAAACAGGAAAGAGAAACACGTCCATGAGCAATTCTTCCAAACAAAAAAACAAGGATCAGATATCAAGAGAAAATCAAAACAGAAGTAATATCAGACGCAACAATCAGATCATGTAAAAATTATTTCGATAAAACAAGTTAAAATGCTTAGATCTGAGATATTGCGGATCAGCAAAATCACCTCAGCAGCCAAATATTCAAGAACAGCAGCCATGTAAATCGGAGTCCCGGTTCCGATCCGATCGGCGTAGCGACCAGCTTTCATGAAACGGCATATCCGACCCACCGGAAATTGAAGCCCAGCTCGGACCGACTTTGACACTGCCTTCTTCCTCCTTCCGCCTATTCTTCCTCTGAACCCCTTCGCGGTTTCCATTTTTCTCTCGAGACTTTGGTGGTAAAACGATTCGTTTAGGAGGGAAAGTGCGAGAGTTTCGAACCGCTGGGATTTGAAATCGCGTTGGCGTAATTTGGTAGGCAATATTTTATAGGGGAAAATGCCACATTGGCAATTTGCGAGTTTCTGTTTATGCCTTTGACATGTGTTTCGGCCAAGGGCAATGATACGTGGCAGGCCAGGGATTTTCGTTTCGTGAGTTGATCAGTTGGATCTGGTTATCAATTGGGTCAGGTTTGAATACTACCAAGCGCCATCCGTGGGTTTGGGCCCCTGAATGACGTAAATTTATTTTCGTACCTATATTAAAACACGAGTTATATCATATAATTATATTCCAATACTACACAATAATTTCTCTCAATAATGGAAATTTCAAATATCAAATTCAGGAGATTTCAAAAATACACAAAACATGAAATTTCCGATTATACCATCCACATTTTCATTTGTGCACTAACTACTACACGAGAAAAACAAAATAAGACTAGGCCCTAAAGATCCCTACTGACATTATATATATATATATATATCTATATAGATATTGTCACTAAAAACGACATGCGTTTTAGGCCTTCTTGGGAGACTTGGGAGACTTAGGCGTCTTCTCAGCAGCTTCAGAAGACGCATTGGAGGTCTTCTTTGGAAGCAGCACTGGGTTTATGTTTGGGAGCACACCACCGCTCGCTATGGTCACTCCTTGCAAAAGCTTTCCAAGCTCCTCGTCGTTTCTCACTGCCAATAGCACGTGCCTTGGGTTTATCCGAGTCTTCTTGTTGTCACGTGCCGCATTCCCCGCCAACTCCAGCACCTGATTTCAAAACGCCACCACCAATTAATAAGTAATTAATAATCAAATAAACAAAAATCAAATCTCATTTTCCTTATTTTTCTCGAAAGCCAAACAGCAAAAGAAAACACAATCGCACAAAACAATCAGATCTTATTGAGAAGTTTTTACGAGAAACGCATTTCGAGAAGGGGGGAAAAGATGTAAAATGCTTAGATCTGAGAAACTTGGATCGTGAAATTACCTCAGCGGCGAGATATTCGAGAACGGCGGCGAGGTAAATCGGAGCCCCGGTGCCTGTTCGCTGGGCGTAGCGACCCTTTTTCAAGAAACGAGCGATCCGACCCACTGGGAATTGGAGCCCCGCTTTGACCGACTTCGACACAGACTTCTTTCTCTCTCCGCCTTTTCTTCCTCCGGCGCCCTTGGTGACCTTAGCGGCTTCCATTCTCTCTCAGATTTTAGAACTGAAAATGAAATTTTGTTGCGGAGGGAAAGTTGGATTGTTTTGAAGCGCTTGGATTTGAATTTGGCAAAAGTACTTTGGTGGGTTCTTTTTTATAAGGGGGGCGTGCCACGTTGACGATCCGTGTGCTTGTGTTTTAGCCAATTGGATTGTTTTGAAGTGAAGCGATGGGTGTGAGATTTGATGGTGATCAACGGCTGTGAGTGAAGACACGCTAGCAATCCGCGACTTCTCGATTTTGGAGAGTAGTTGGGGCATTAACTTTGCCTTGGGAACAAATTATATTATTTTAGGGAGGTGATTTTCTCATTCCCCTTTCTTCATTTACACTCACTCTCTCTCTTTTGCCTTTTAATACTTTTTAGGGTTATTTACTCAAATAGTCCTCAAACTTATACTCGAATTGCATTTTGGTCTTACAACTAAATTATTCGTTCAAATGGTCCACCAATTCTTTATTAATCGACACATTGGTCATACCGTTACATTTTCTGTTAAATTTAGTCATGTGAGCAGCACATGCTACATTTTGTATGGGTAAATAAGACTTTTAACAACTAAAAAAATACTTTAATTCGTATTTTCCATCATTACTCCTCTCAATTTGCTTCGAAATTTTGGGAGAATTTTCGTGTCTACCTTATGACCTGCTAAAATAGTAACTCATGTCTTATTCTCGAAAAAATATCAATCGTGAGTGTATTTGTATCTCTCATCGTGTTAATACAATGAAAGATACATACATAAGTGGAGTTCTTGCCCCATACTCGCTTTCATCTCATTCCTATCCTAGGGCCTATGAAGATATTACTCTTAACTTGTGATTATGGAATGATAAAAAAGCTTTCTAATAATGATCCTTACCCCCAACGCATTTTCCTTCAATTTTTTTTTCCAAACCATCCCATTAAGAGTTAGAACTTTGCGACATCAAATGATACGAAAAGTTATCATTCCTAAATGAATTTGAAAGAAAATTGTAACCCAAGAAGAATATGAACCCGTAAAGTTATTGAACGGATTATATTAACAAATAAAATTCTTTGAGCATTCCTCACAACATAAACTTCTTGGACCATATAGCTTATGCATGAAAAAATTTGAACCATTGGCATTTGGGAATGCAATCTGTTCAGAATGATAAGAATGTCCCCTCTAATTAATTGTTCCTTAACCTGACTCTCCTGCCATGACTATAAGCTGATCACTTGGGAAAGAGGTAATGATCTTCATTTGCAACCTCCTCAAATTAGCAGCAAATTCCAATGCTTCCTTCATGGACGCCCGAGCACCGGCCAAGGCATCCTCTAGCTCCTTATTTATCAAGTAAAATGAGCATATCTGGCTTAGAATTCGGTCATGCCTTTCTTGAAACCTCGCTGCCCTCTCTTCAGCTTGCTCCAATGCTTCATTAACAATCCTTAATTTTTCTGTTGTGACTTGTTGCCTATGCCATTTCTTTACATTCGGCACGAAGAAGAAGATGGAGGAAGAGAAACCGATTACGGCGAAAACTACATGACTGAAATCCATGGAGATCATGTTAATTATTTTGTTGAAGTGTTGAAGAGGTGCACATGTAATAAGAAGAATGGAAGAAAGAAACATAATTGAGGGGAGCCTAGCTACATTACATATATATTCTTTCCTTTAGTTATGTGGGTTTGTCATATCTCTCAATAAGGGAATATTCTTTGCGTTTTTCTTTTGTTTTGCCTGCCAATTTAAAGGAAACTTCCGTCTCTAACAAAAATGGATGACAATGATGTGTAAAATAAAGTGAACGAGATGAAGCCAAATAAAAGGTAAATGTGATATAAAATCCTAATGAAGCCAAGGGGTACGTTCTCCGAGAGAGAGAGAGAGAGAGAGAGAGAGAGAGAGACCAAATTTTTTAAAAAGAATGCGCATCCAGGGAATCGAACCCTGGTCAGTACCGTGGGAGGGTACTATGATACCACTACACCAGATGCGCTTGGTGTTCTTAACTTATTTACTTTATATAAATACTACTACATAAAAATTGGTGAAAGTAGAAATCACTTGAAAATGTAATAAATAATCACTATTCTTATTTGTTTTTAGTTTTTTATATTAAGATTTAAGATATATTTTCAATAATAATGGTGCAATTTTAGACATTTACTATATGAATTTTCTTTTTCTTCTGGTCAAAATGTTAAACTTTACAATGAAATTGTTTTGTTCTATTGACATTCTTGGCAAAACTTGATTTGAGAAGGTACAATTTTACAGTGTGCTAGCGGAAATTGAACTCAAACTTTGAAGGATTTTTTTTTTTTTTTTTTTTTTCAATTTTCAATTTGTAAAAATGATTATAAAATCCAATAGAAGAATGGGTTGGAAATTTAATCGATTTTAATCCTACGTTAATTCATGATTGCAAGATTAAGCAATGTGCTACTGAAAAATAATTGCATTTTGAATCATAGGCTCCACCACAACCGATTTGGTTAATAGCTGTCATAGATTCATTCTACATGTAAATTCCAAACTTGTCAATGCTTCAATGACCTTGGTCGGGCACCTTTTTTGGAGAGTTTGGCTTCTATTCTACCTCGAGCAGTTCTTAAATTTGGACTATGTCGTTGCTTTCGTGATTTTCGTCGTCCTCTTTTACCTCCGGCGTTAAATGGCTTTCTGTTGCATTGCATATTCTCTAACCTCTGACGTCGAATCTCAGGATCAGCCCAGCCTCTTCCCCACTCTGAGAAAGTTGAGAAAGATTTGGGTCTGTTTGCAGAAAGCAGCATATCTGCTTCAGGGTGAACATAGAAAGTTTGCTCCCCTTCGGTTTCAAGAAACTCCAACCCAAGTTCTGTTAGCTCAGGGAACTTTAGCTGAACATGCGTCTGCGTTGAATATTTAAGTTGATACTCTGAGATTAGACTGACAAAATAAATGTAAGCAGAAGCATACACATGCATGCATGCATGGTGAATGTGTACCTTGTTATCTCCCTCTTTGATGTATCCTCTACTTTCCATAATTCGGACAAGGCCTTGCCACCAAAGCAGTTCAGTTGCCATGAATTCTTGAGACTGCACGCCGCGGTGTTCATGGTCATCGTATGGAAATCACCAAACAATGTGTTAGAATTTGAGTTGCATTTTAAGCACCGCCACTAGAATTTCACCAAAACATAGAGTAAGAGAGTGAGAATCACCTGCTCCCTTATTTTACTGATAATCATCCTGAGATTTAGCTTCCCCATATAACTTTCACGTCTAAGCCTAATGTCACTACTTGTAGTATCATCACATGAACCATTCCTGTATTGACTTGCATGATGAGCAGATATAACCTGCATGATGAGATCTGCTTCCTTTCTCAAATTCTTCAGTTCGGGAGGTCCATCAACACACACATCACACCTGCATTATGGAAATTGCTTAATGAACATAAACTGTGAAACACTGTCAACTGTGACTAAAGATGAAACACAGTAAATATAAAACGGAACCTCAAAAAGAGAAGCAATGATACGTACAAGAGACACTTTTCAGAACTAAAATCCTCTCCGAAGTACTCCACAAGTTTTTTAGCCCGGCAGCATGAAGAATTCATTCCATACCTGCAAGTATACAAAGAAAAGCATATAATACATATGTGCTGCCTGCATGTGTGCATGCGTGTGAAAATAAATATTATGCAGGGTAAAGTTAGTCAAAGTTAAAGTGTGATCAAATTTCACAGTGGAAGAAGGCTGCAAGGAGATGTATTTAACATCAACCTAAAACAATCTGACAACATCTTATAT